CCCTCAACATAACCCAATAAAGAGAAACAGAGGACCAGGGTGAACACAGACAAAAACACAACATCCATCCATCCATTATCTTTTACCCGCTTCTTCCATTTTGAGTCACAGGGGTCACCGGTGCCTATGTCCAGCAATCACTGTGCAAGGGGCGGGGTACACCCTGGACAGGTCACAAGTCCATCACAGGGCCAAATAGAGACAAACAAGACAAACAACCATTCACTCTCAGACTCACACCTATGGACAATTTAAAGTTACCAGTCAGCCTAACATGCATGTTTTTGGTCTGTGCAAGGAAACCAGAGTACCCATGCATGCATGGAGAGAACATGCAAATTCCACCCAGAAAAGTCCCCAGACCGGGATTTGAACTGGGGACCTGCTCGCTGAGAGGCAGCAGCTCTATCAGTTGCGCCACCGTGCTGCCTGTTAAAATTTCCCTTTTGATTAAACCTTCATTCACACAGATCACAACAAAATGTCTTGTCCAGAGTGGATTCTCTTGTGTGTGTTTAAGAGCCCTTGTCAGTAAACTTTTGTTCACACAGATCACAAGATAATGGCTTCTGTCTTGTGTGGATTCTCATGTGTCTGCACCAGACTCACCTCACCACCGGATGAAGAGCTTCTAAGCGTGACCCCAGCAGAAGTAAGGAACACTTTCATGAAGATTAATCTGCACAAGGCAACCGGTCCAGACAACATCCCCGGGAAAGTGTTGAAAAAATGTGCCGATCAGCTCTGCGAGGTGCTGGCCAACATCTTTAACACCTCACTTACCCTGGAGACAGTTCCCACCTGCCTAAAAACTGCCACCATCATCCCAGTCCCAAAGAGCTCTACAGTGACTGGTCTGAATGACTACTGGCCAGTGGCCCTCACCCCGATAGTTGCTAAATGCTTTGAAAAACTGGTCATGACCCACATCAAAACAGCAATCAACATCAACGAGGACCCTCGTGAGTATGCATACTGGGAGAACCGATCAACAGAGGACGCCATCTCCTCTGTGGTCCACACTGCACTCAACCACCTGGAGCAGAAAGACTCCTACGTTCGTATGCTCTTTGTGGACTTCACATCTGCCTTCAACACCGTGATCCCCCAAACACTCATGGACAAACTATTAACTCTAGGACTAAGCCCCTTCATTTGCAACTGGGTCCTAGACTTCTTAACAAACAGACCTCAGTCTGAGAGGATCCACAACTTTTCCTCCTCCACCTTAACCCTCAGCACTGGCTCTCCTCAGGGATGTGTGCTGAGCCCTCTCCTATTCACTCTGCTCACATATGATTGTGCAGCCAGCTACCCATCCAGGCTGTCACATTGTAAAGTTTGCAGATGATACAGTGGTGGTGGGATGCATCACAAACAATGATGAGTCCAGCTACAGGCAAGAGGTGGAACATCTGGAGAGCTGGTGCAAAGAGAATAACCTTCACATCAATGTGAAGACAACAAAAGAGATGATCGTGGACTTCAGAAGGAACAAAAACACCTGCACCTCCCTGTAAATAAGATCTGCGGTAGAAGTGGTCTCCAGCTACAAGTACTTGGGTGTACACATGAATGACAATCTCAGCTGGGGCAACAACACTTCTAGCCTGATCAAGAAAACTCTTCAGAGACTCTACTTCCTCAGACGGCTGAGGCGAGCTAGTCTGGGAAGTTCAATCCTCACCTCCTTCTACAGGTGTGCAGTGGAGAGCATCCTGTGTTCCAGCATCAACGTGTGGCATGGAGGCTGCACAGCTGCAGAAAGAAAAGCTTTGCAGAGAGTGGTGAAGGCTGCACAGAAGACTGTTGGAGTCAGTCTCCCCACCATCACAGACATCTACACCTCCAGATGCAGGAAGAGAGCCACCTGCATCATGAAGCACCTCACTCACTCAGCACACACACTTTTTGCCCCACTCCCCTCAGAAAGGAGGTTAAGAAGCATTAAGTGTAGAACCACTAGACTGAGAAACAGCTTCTACCCTGAGGCTGTTAGACTCATGAATCTCTAACCAGGACAATCACTGTGAAAAATCACATCATGTTGCTGCTGATCTGTTTCATGTTGATGTGTTCATGCATGCTCATCTGCTCACACAGACTCATGTTTGTGCTGCTGTTCGGCGCAATGTTTTTATGCTATTAGTGCTTAGTGTATGATTTAGTTGATGTTTTTCTTAGTTCATATATTAGATCTTATTACTGTTTTTCTTTTACATTTTATTGTTGGATGTAACTGGGACCCTGTGTACATAACTTTGTTCCACCACATGTACCACATGGGGTGTGAATGACAAATAAAGAACCTTGAATCCTTGCCTCAACTCTTTCTACTCCCAGATTGACGGACGTAACATCCTTATTACACAGAACAAGGCATATGTCATTCCATCTCCATTCTACCATCACTCGTGAACAAGATGCTCAGATACTTAAAACTCCTCTACCTAAAGGGCCCAGCATACTCCATTCTACCAGCACTGGCTCTCCTCAAAGGTGTCTTTTATCTGCACTGTTATTTATTCTGTACACCAGTACTTCCCAAAGTGTGGTACTCATACCCCTGGGGGTACGCAAGAGGAACGTAGAGGGTACGGGAGAAAATTTGAGAAAAACGGAGAAAAAAAAGTGTGAAAAGAGCCAGACTACACTCTCACATAAATAGACTTGAAGTACCTTCTCACATAACCAAATAATACACATGTAAATGCTCCCATCTAGTGTTCAGCAAAATGTTTGCACAAAGTAGAAATGTGCGACTTGCTGAAGGAACACCTGTTAATCAAAGCAGCCTTCGCTCAACTTCTTGTCAGGGTTGCGAAAACATAAGCCATTGCTGGATTTATGGATCGGACTGCGCACAGAACAGCCTGCGCTGACCAACTGTGCTGTGAAGACTTTGATGCCCTTTGCTACAACGTACTTGTGTGAAAATGGATTCTGACAAATATGAAAACAAAATACAGAGCAAGACTGTGTTGAAAATGATTTAAGACTCACACTGTCTCAAACTAAGTCGAACATAACAGAGTTGTGTGCATCCTACCAAGCACACCCTTCTCTTAAAACTGTGGGGAGTTTAATTAAATACACAGTATGCTCAATACCTGTTATTTATCACAACATAAATGTTTTCCAATATTCTACACAGGCTAAAGGTTTGGATAATTCAGCCTATAAATATGTTGCTTATTATTGCTGACATTTATTAATAAATATCATTTGGTGCGAAAAAATTAACAGGTGTTTAAGATTGTATGTGATATGTGCAGCGTTTACGAACACATTATAAAGGGAGGGTACTTAACTAAAGGGAAGATATCTGAAGGGGTACACAGCTGAACAAAGCTTGGGAACCACTGCTGTACACAAACTCCAGCAGAAGTACTTTCCCAAATAGACATTTATTTAAATATGCTGATGACATGGCCCTGATAACCTTTTAAACAACGAGGAGGAGGAGCATGGATCACTTCTGGACATCTTCATTAACTGGTGCAAAATGTCTAAATTGGTTCTGAACACAAAAAACCAAAATAAATGATTATTGACTTCAGGAAGCTTCAGTAATTTTCTCCAACCACCATTGATGGAGAGCAGGTTGAACCTGTCTCGTGCTACAAGTACATGGGCGTGGTTCTGGACTGTCACTTAAAATGGGACTCATGGGCTGATCTTATTAGCACCAAGGTTCAGCAGAAGATTTTTTTTTTTTTAAGAAATTGGGGTCTTTTAGAGTCAATAATTCAACGCTTTAATAATTTATTCGGCTTTATTGAGGAAATTTAAACATTTTGTCACATCTGTTGGTTTGGCAATGCTACAGAGGCTCAGAAGAAATCCTTGAGAAATATAATAACTTGAAACCTTTTTTTTCAGTTAGCCTCACTGATTTGTGGTTTCTTAAGGCTACACAGCTGTTCAGTCCCAATTCCTTGAGTTCCCTTTGCATTGTGTGTGTGGAAATGATCTTACTTTCACTATTAAATATAGCCCTGAGTGCTACTGTTATTTTTCTTCTATTTGATTTCACCAAACGTTTAAGTGATCGCCGATCATAATCATTCAGGATTTTTCCGGCCACATTTCTTCCTCGAAGACGATGGGTTCCCACTATCCTTCCAGTTTTTAGTGATGCGTTGGACAGTTCTTAACCCAATTTTAGTAGTTTCTGCAATCTCCTTAGATGTTTTCTCTGCTTGATGCCAATGATTTGACCCTTCTCAAACAGACTGACATCTTTTCCACGACCACGTGATGTGTATTTCAACATGGTTGTTTAAGAAATGGGAAGCAACTCATTGCACCAGATGGGGTTAAATAACTTGTTGCCATCTGAAAGATAATCACCCATACAGTAATTATCCAACAGGAGGCTCATACCTATTTGTTTAGTTAAATTTAGGTGGCAAATTTTGGGGGGCCAGGCAGTGTACTTTACAAGAAAATAGCATAACAGATGAGTGGAAATAAATTTTACATGAGTGTTTGGGAGAGATAAATGTTTCTCAGTTGAAATTAGTGAAATTATGTTATTCATCACCAGATTCAGGCATGTACAAAATTTAATTAAATATATTAGTGAGTGTGGCACATTGCCTATGAGTTCTTTCAAATTACTTTTTATCCCCAGTGTGGATTCTCATGTGCCTGTTTAAATTGTCCTTACTGGTAAACATTCGGCCACAAAAATCACAACAAAATGGCTTCTGTCCTGTGTGGATTTTCATGTGTTTTTTTAAATGAACCTTTTGAGTAAATCTTTTTTCACACAGATCACAAGAAAATGGCTTCTCTCCTCTGTGAAATCTCATGTGTGTGTTTAAACCTCCCTTTTGAATAAACCTTCGTTCACACAGATTACAAGAAAAGGGTTTCTGTCCTGTGTGAATCATCATATGGTTTTTTAAACTGTAATTCTGGGTAAACTTTTGATTACACTGATCACAAGAAAAGGGCTTCTGTCCTGTGTGGATTATCATA